AAGTCTATTAAAGTTTGACGTATTAAGTAAAATCACAAGCCTAGAGAAATGTTATCCATTCTATAGAAAACACAGGAAAAGGGTCTTTGAAATACTGTTGACGCTTCTGTAGAGTTTGACTCATTTTACTCTGATACATTCCTCACATTTCCCTAAGATCCTCTTGGAGATAATGAGCTATCATGCCAAAACTCCTTTATGCAAACTAAAGTTTGAAGACAGAAAGCTATGCGTTATGGTGCAGCTGTGTTAGGAGCTCAGGACATAGTGCAACCTTCTAAGATCTGTGGATTCTGGGGGCTGAATGCTCTGGTTTTTTTGTGGCAGAGAACTTCATACCCCCCTGTTTTCCCCACCTCCAACTTCAGCAGAATCATTTGAAGAAAACTTGGGGCTTACCACATTTTAGTCAACTTTCAGCTAAGCAGGTCAAATTATATTCCATAGTGTAGAACATCCTATTAACTAATTAGATAATTATAGGTGGAGCTGGTAGCACTGCCAGCTATAAAGGTTGTCCAACACTTCCCATTATAAGACGCAAATTTCAATTGCTTTTAACTTTGCTAAACTTTAACTGTTTGGGCTGAAATTTTCCATTCTGGGTGTGTGCCTCAGTCCAGCTGTTTCCAAGAATGAAGCTAGAGAAAAATATATTGTCTTGCCCATGTTCAAAAATTCTTGAGACCTTTTCTTTGGGAAACTCTAGACCCCCATGCTTTGAAGTAGAAATTTGGCAGGGATGTGGCCTTTGTGTCAGGAATGTGCCTTTTGCCAGCCCTGTGAAAATCTGCCCGAATTTGGCCAAGTTATATTTTTTTGAAAAATTGCAGTTTGCACATACTCAGACTTGCAAGAGCTTAACAGCTAAATTCATAAAAGATTCTTTCCTCACTGAGCGTGCTCCATCCTGTCACAGCTCCTGTGTGTGACTGGACTGCTCATGCACCATCCTCACAAAACAGGGCTGCAGGGTTGAGGCTGGACTTTCCTTGTAATGGCTGCTCTGGAATGGGATGGGGATGGGCACTGGAACTGAGAGAAAGGAAACTGTCTCTCCTGTGTTATCAGTGACCCTCTGGCTGACTCCCAGATAGTGAAGAGGAGGAAGCCGTCTGATTTGAATGCAAGACCGAGGGGAAGGAAAGGAATAGATTGGGATAAGGACCCTGATAAGACTTGGACTGGAAGTTGGGGGAGAGTAATTGTGACTGGAAGTTGGAGGGGGGAAACTGAGCTTGGCTGGGCAAGGAGACTGGGATAGAGAACTGGCTGTGATTAATTGGACCAGAAGGCTGAGACCGGGAGCTGTAGAGAGGGAAAGACTGGGAGTAGGAACCAGTGAGGAAATGGGGGCACAACTGGGAGCTAGTTTGCTGGGGGGACACTGAGATTGGCCAACGAGTTAGGGGAGAGCCTGGGACTGGCTGAACAAGGAAACTGGGACTAGGAAGCAGTGCAGGGTGGAGTACAGGGACAAATGGGAGGAGAGACAAATCTGACAAGTGGTGTGCGGGGGCAGAACTAGGACTGACTGGGCCAAGATACTGAGACGAGGAGTCCAGGGGTGGAGGCGGGTGACTGAGGTTAGATGAGGAGCACTAGGAGGGAGATTGGGACTGGGAACTAGTGCCTGGGAAGAGGGGAGATACAGAGTGGGCCAGCAGCTGGGAGCAGGGTACTGAGCCTGGCTGAGCAAGGAGACTGGGACTGGGATGAGAAGCCTCAGGAGTGGAGAGTGGGACTGGGATAAGGAGCCAGATGAGGGGAAGAGACAGGACTCAGACAGGGACAGGCTGGAGGGGACAGGGTAGAAGTGGTCAAGTTTGGGGAAAATGGACGGAAGAGAAAATGCTTTTTTGGTGAATTTACTATTTGCTGACAAAATTTTGCCCAACTCCACTCACTTCTACAGCTGAAGTCAGGGGGAGCCATGCTTGAATATATAAAGTTCTATATAATTCTACTCTGAAAAACCAAGTACACCCAAAATTATTGAATACTTTTGACCTTAATCTCTCTCTGCCTCACCATCTGTAAAATGGGGATAGTACTACCTCCTTGTCTCACAGGGGTATTGTGACAATAAATGAATTAATATTTGTGATGCACACAGATTCTATAATGTTGAGCATACAAAAAAGCCTATGAGGATATTAATAATTCTGTCTTCAGATGAGGGTTTGAATAGTATGCAGTAAATAAGACCTGGGGCCACACACTGAACAATGAGGAGAAAACAAAATATTGAATAGTTTGCTTACTAAATGAACATGGTACAGCCTGTGCACTGAGTGAGGCAGGAGTCCTTTGGGGAAAATTGTTTGTGACAATTAATATATGTTAATTAAAGGCTGTATGTTAGGGGGCTGAATTGAGGTGGCACAGACAATCTTAATTCTGGCATTTCCTAACTTTTGAGTGCTTGACTCTGCAACCTTTATAGTGTTTTTTTAAATTAGTATGTTTGTGTAATATTGAAATAACCTTATCTTGGTATTTTAAAATTTATCATTTTCTTAGATATTGTGAAACTTTGGTACTGAGAGAAGTAATGGAATGTGAGGTTTTTATACAAAATTTAGAGATAAGAACAGCCATTCTGGGTCAGATCAAGGGTCCATCTATCCCAGTATCCTTTCTTCTGACAGTAGCCAATGCCAGGTGCTTCAGAGGGAATGAACAGAACAGGTAATCATCAACTGATCCATCCCCTGCAGCTGTCAGGTTTCCCTTCCCACTCTGAACTCTGGGGTACAGAGGTGGGGACCCACATGAAAGACCCCCTAAGCTTATTTCTACCAGCTTAGGTTAAAAACTTCCCCCAGGCATAAATCCTTTCTTTGTCCTTGGATGGTATTGCTGCCACCGCCAAGTGATTTAGACAAAAATTCAGGAAAGGGGTCACTTGGAGTCCCTAGTTCCCCAAAATATTCCCCCAAGCCCCTTAACCCCCTTTCCTGGGGAGGCTTGAGAATAATGTGAGTACCGACCAGACTCTTTGTCTCTAGGACACTGAAAATCAATCAGGTTCTTAAAGAAAGAACTTTATTTAAAGAAAAAGTAAAAGAATCACACCTGCAGAAATCAGGATGGAAGGTAATTTTACAGGGTAATAAAAAGATTTAAAACACAGAGGATTCCCCTCTAGGCTCAGCTTCAAAGTTACAAAAAACAGGAATAAAACTCCCTCTTAGCATAGGGAAAATTCACAAGCTAAAACAAAAGATAATCTAACGCATTTCCTTGCCCTTACTTACAATTTTTGTAACCTTAGATGGTTCATTTCAGGTATGTTTTCAGGAGATGTTTTTTCCTGCCTGGTCTCTCTCTCTCTGTCCAGAGAGGGAACAACAAAGAGAGCACCAACAACTCCCCCCCTCTCCAGATTTGAAAGTATCTTCTTTCCTTATTGGTCCTTTTCGTCAGGTGCCAACCAGGTTATTTGAGCTTCTTAACCCCTTACAGGTAAAGATTCAGTACAGCTGCTCAGGAGGGATTTTATGCTCCCCTTAGCTGTATGTTTATGACAACAGCCCATTCCTAGCATCTGGCAAATATAGGCTAGGGATACTTCAGAGCATGGTTTTGCATGATCTGATTATAAAGATATAAATAATCTAAGATCTAAATAAAGGCAGATGGTCCAGTTCTGTTACATATATGGGAGACAAGGTGGGTGAGGTAATATCTTTTATTGAACCAATTTCTGTTGGTGAAAGAAACAAGCTTCCCAGTTTATACAGAGTTCTTCTTCAGGTCTGGGAAAGCTACTTATATGAGCATGATACATATTGGTATTGTTGTGAATGACAAATATCATGCATATTTGCATAGTTCTACATTTTTGTTGTGTTTATTGTTTACATAAGTTACAGTGCAAATTGCAAACAATATATCTGAATGATCTGCAGACCAAGAATTATTCACCACCAAAAAACAAAAAAAATCAAGACTGGTTTTAAATAACATGTCAATTTAAAAATGTTGTGATTTGCTTATTCACAAATAGGGAACAAAGGTGGGATTTCACAAATCAGTTATTCGTTGTGAATTATTCATTCAGCTCTAGTGCTCCACTGTAAGATTCAGCTACAGGAATTGCCAGTTCTATTTTTATTTTAAAATGGTCAGCATTCTTTTGCACTTAAGTACCTCCATCACAATACTTTCAAGATTGTGTATTTGAATTCAGATCCTTACATTGCAGGAGAAAAATTGCATTCAGCAATTGATCTCCTATTCTTATTAGATAGACTTTCATGTGTAAGTTAGGGAAAGAGTATGTTACCTTAAAATGATATATGCTGTAGTCCACCAATAAAATGAATACATGTAATATAAATAGAATGGAGTATAAAGAGAATATAATACAACACTCAGAGATACTATGGCCTGTTTTTTAATGTCCCCAAAGAATGACATTTAGGCATATGCTACATTGCATCTGCATATCTGGCAGTTAGATGTCTATCTGCAATAATTTGCTCTTACAGTAAACTCCACCCATAATTAGTTACACTTACATTTTTATGGGAGGAAAAAAGGAAGGATGGTTTTCAAAATCATGCGGTATATGCTTATAAGATGCAATACAAAAGCTGACCTTAAGCAGTAGGTCAAGAGAAGACGTAGGAACCCAGGGTCTCCAATATGTATAACTAGCATGTACAGTAACATCCCATCTAGAAACAGTGGGTCAGATTTTCCTCTTGCCTATCAGTGAAGTCAGTGGAGTTACACCATTGTGAACGTGATGTGAGGGAAGACTCAGCCCAGAAGGCTTCAGTTGTACACACCTCTTTATATTTATAAAATATTTACACTGCTAAGGAAATGGTAAGTCGTTCCCACAAATCTATATTGTACTTACAGAACAAATATACAGTTCTGTGGGAAGTTTCATCTTAAATTATTCTCAAGTATCACCATTTACCTCCCTTGCATTCTGAATATTGGAAGCTGCCTCTTTACCTTGGACCTTGTCGTTCTTTTTGCAGATCATGTAAACGGGCACTGTACAAGCCCAACCTCCCAAACTTGCAGCTCTGGAAAACGGCTCTCTAGCGCAGATGTTACAAAATCAAATCGCCGAGGGCCTGGGAGGCCCCCATTTAGAAAAGCACAGTCTGCAGCTTGCATGGAGATTTCCCTTCCAGTCACAACAGAAGGTGAGTGCCAATGAGCGTTTTCATTAGGTATGTGTTAAGTTTCACTTTTCCACAAGATGTGAAAGCAAACTGGTTACACGCTATTTAGCATGATCCCTGTCCTAGTCACTTCTCTAAACTGCTGTCTTCATTTAATTGTTTAGAATTAGAATGATCCCTGTGTTTTAGTGTTGTTACTAACCAGCCAGCCTGCTGCTGACTTTTGTGCTACCTAGAGATGCGGTATACCAAACTTCCTGAAACTCTCACAGTCCTTCCACCTTCTTTTTGAGCCTGGAAGCTTTGCTCCAGAAAAATGATTGTTCATCAGAATTTATGTACAGTAATTCTGACAGCCAGTGACCTCAAAAGCTTAAAATACACCTCTACCCCGATATAACGCTGTCTTCGGGAGCCCAAAAATCTTACCACGTTATAGGTGAAACTGCATTATATCGAACTTGCTTTGATCTGCTGGAATGCGCAGCCCTGCCCCCCTGGAGCACTGCTTTACCGCGTTCTATCCGAATTTGTGTTATATCGGGTCGCGTTATTTCGGGGTAGAGGTGTATTCTGATCCCTGTTTATTCACGAGTAATAGTCTGAAAAATGAGAACTATATTTATAAGACTGAGAGTTTAACCTTTGCTCACCCATTGTATTATTCTTTGGTATTAAATATAATTAAGGGCTGTAAATTCTGCAATTCCCTGGCCATGGGATTTACCCCTTGCTGGAGAATTGTGGTTCAGAATCAAAACTTCCTTTAAAATAATTTGTTTTGAGCACTTATGTTTGTGAATACAGCCTCCAAATTTTGAACTAAGTATAAGCCAGGCAGTGTTGTCTACCTGAGTGTTCAGACACATTCAAACCACAGTTCTGAGGAGTGTAAACTGTCCCATTCATGTCAGTGGGTTAAGTGCGAAACTTCAAATATGCCCATTTAAATGTCAGCATTGCTAACTATTTCGGTGCCCATCATTTTAACAGAAGCATCCAGCTAATGTGCTTTTCCCATAACCTCAAAACACCTCCTGTGCCTTATGAGATGCTGTCACTCCCAATTATCCCTCACCCACCAAGCCTGCAACTTCCCCCACACCCTCCACAGCTTGTACAATGCAACAATGTGATGTCCGTACAAAATGCTTTGGCAGTCAGCAACTGAAAAAAATGTAATAGCAAAATAAACAGTACAGGGGCTCTTCTACTTTAGTCTTATTCATTTTAATATTTCACTTATTACAAATTCAATTTTTAACTTAAGTGAGGCTGCCACACAATTTCCAATCTGCTTAAGTAATGATACTTCCCAGGGCTACCCTCTGGGCCATAGCACTCCCTGGTCTCTGCAGTGCTGCAATCCCACCAGCGACATGCCCCTTCTGCCCCCAGCATCACCTCCAGTATGCCCGCCACACCATGGCTTGCAAGGAGATCATTGGAAGATGGCCTTTTGCCTGTGTTCAGCAATGCCTGCACCAGGATAATTCTCCCAGAGTCAGAATGAGAGCTCTTAGAGCCCCTTTACCCAGCCCCAGTCCTTTCACCCGTTTGTATGGGGGACAATGCGAGAGTGATGAGCTCACCCATAGAGCCTGTTGATGCACCTTTTAAATACAAACTGTAGAAAATACCTTTGTTCACAGATGTAAAAAGATCCCTCTACATACAGGAAATGGATAGAATATCAGAGCCCCCTTCATTAATATTTCTGATAGCTAGATCTTCAGAGTTTATTAATTAGGATGTGATCAAATAGAGGAATCACTGCTGATCCTTTTCTCCATGACTGTTTGAGATCACACCACAGCAAGACAGAAGAGATCACTGTAGGATCTACTGAAGCTGACAGTATGGAAATGAACTCATGAATCATGTCATTATCCCATTAAATTATCCCATGAACCATTATCCCAAGATGGTGACCTGCTAGGGATTAAAGTGCAAGTCCCAAACTCATGGGCTGGCTGGAGGCAGGTTGGTGGACGCAGTACACTGTGCAGAGAAAGCACGCTGCATTCTTCTCGAGGAACTCCATCCAGCTGATTTAAGGGGCAACACTGATCACTTCCAAAGGAACTACATTTAGAGAAAAATTGAATGTGATGTAGAGTCACTGAAGGGGGAACCCAGAAATCCTGATCTCTAAAAAACCCCATGAAATTACACTACAGTCTCTCCACAGCACATAGAAAAAGTGTGATCTTCCAGTTCCCTGTCAAAGGAAATAACTCGTTCAAAGAATATGCCTTTTATAAGCTCAAATGTAAATACAGACTAATAGATAGTTCAGGAGTGAGTACTGTACCAAGATAGACTTAGAGAGCTCTAATGAAGTCATTGTAAATGGCTTATGAATAACAGCAGACTTCACTCATGAATTAACCTGGGTGTTCTCTTCAGGTTAGTTATGGCTAATAATAATTAATATTATAATAATATAATATATATTATAATAATTAATTAATATGGAGCTCATAGGTAGCACTTTTTATCTGTAGATCTCAAAGCACTTTGCAGAGATGGTAAAAGTTTTAAAACTTTCCACAGGTAATGATTTAGCTTTCTCTTGTCACTGAAAAGGTAGTCTAGCTTTCCTGAATGTCAGCAAAAGAATACTTAGAGGTATCAGTGATGTCAGTGAAATGGTACTGCACCTCTCACTAATGTCACTGAATCAACTTTAACAGCCTATTTTCTGTCACAGTTAACAGCAGAATAGTTGGTCAGGGTATAGTCTATTAATATGTAATATGATGTGTGTTTATATATATATATATATATATATATATATACACACACACATGCGTACAAGCTAGATATA